TATAATAGTGTTATTTTGTTACGTGAGAGGTATGTATGCAAATATGTATGCAATATATGTGTGTTTGGGAGCAACAAAACTAAACAAATATTTTGTTCATTCACTTTAAGGTTAAATACATTTAATTCTCAGTAGAGCTCATAAATTGTCGTTTTGTAAGAATATTATGGAAAATATTTTTCTCTGAAGAGACAAATCTTGAAATTAATTGAAACATATTTTGATTGATAGGATTTATGCATTAGAGTTGTGTTAATACCGTATTATAAACATAATAGTGGTTAAAAACCCAAACACAGAATAATGCATTTTAATTTAATATGCATTTAAATTTGTTTAATTTCAGTACTTTTAAGTGTATGTCATATACACAAAGAGATAAAAATTCAAAAGTTTATATTTTATTTATAATAAAACCTCTCTCTCTCTCTCTCTCTCTCTCTCTCTCTCTCTCCTATTTATTTTCTGTTTATTTTCTATTTCTCTTATTTTTGCCTTTTCTGCCAAAAAGTCATACAAAATTTATTTGCAATAAATTCATAGTAAGCCCAGAATAAGGTTTTATTCATAGACTTTTATAATAACTTTAATACATTTACTTAATACAGAAGTAGACAAAGATATGGCTTTATATTTATTCAGCTGTTTTAAAATTAATTGGTTGCGAAATACATACTTTATATTATTTCTATTAAATGAATATCAATATACAGTTATAATAATTGTAAACGATTTACATCTTGCAATCATATCTAAGAATATTTTGAATATGCTAAATCTAAATGCTAGACGTGCACTACATCTGCATTAAAAGTATAATTATGGTAAATTCAACAATTCACTGTTAACATTTATTTTATTACTAAATATATTCACAATCATTTAAAGTATAAATAACATAATAATAACAAAAATATCACAACAAACCATTTGCAACATATTTTAATTAAAACGACATTTCATAATCAATTAATTAATTTGCTAATATTGAAAATTTTAAGTGAATTAAGCATAAATAAACATGTATCAAAGATTGACCAGTATAAATGCATATTTATGGTAAATCAACGAACTCGCATGACCCTGTTCATTGCACTGGGAAACCCAATATAAAAAACAAATGCATTATTCTCGATATACTTAACATTCAAACAGAATTGGTTTTTATA